AAAAAAAAAAAAAAAAAAAGTACCAGGTGCTGTGACCTGATGCAAAACCCGGCAAACAGTGATGAACCGTGCAGAGTTGATTTGAGCAGGCACTAATGGAAAAAGAGCTTCAGAGTTAAGAGACTTGAGCTCACCTGTTGGATCCATAACCAGCACTGATTAGTGCATCAGATAGCACAGCGACTATCTGGCTCTTTGGATAAGTTATACTTGCAGATGTTTGAAGAATGACTGGAGAGCAAAGGACTCCAGTAATGTTTTTTTTCACCTGCCCACAGCAGGTGGGCATGTTCCAGTAGCTCTGATGTCACGGCAAAATGTGTAATAGGCACGCTAGTCCACTGTATCTATTTACACACCCATGTAAAAATTGGATTACCAGCAGGGGGAGCTAATGTATTTAAAGTCAAGTCAGTAGAGAGCAAAAAACATTAATTCCAGGGTCCTTAATCAGCAAACTCCATTATACTACGCTAATATGTATTTCCATGTAAATGTCTGTATAAACACGTTGCTGTGATTATATTCATGTTGGCTTGAAATAAAACGTCTCCTTCTGCTGGTACTACAGATTACTGCAACTTCTGCAAGCGTGTACATTTCACATTTTGGAGAGGCAAAGCGTGACATGGAAACAGTGGACGAGCGTGTTGATGGAATGGTAGATTTACTGTCATTAGTAAGTCCCACCTGAAACAACAGTGTGGGTGGAGTTTGCCTGTATGTGTCATCAGTTTGTGATTAAACATTATCAGTATTGAACAGCGGCTCAGGCAGCACCAATCAAGAACCACTAACAAACAGCCAATCACGGAGCTATGCACATGTGCTATCTGCTAAGTGCTGGTACCTTGTTGTTCTGACTCCAGGTCCAGGCAGGTGGCGTCTGGAGGTGGAGAAGCGAGAAGGGGTTCTGACCACTGACGATAACCAAAATGGAGAGCAGCTTCAGATACGAGATCAGCTGAGCCGCACACCTGACAGGAGGAGGCAGGTTAGACACAGCTGTACAGGCTGGGGACAGAGTTTACAGACGGAGCACCTCACCTGCTGAAGGCAGTGGGAGGGTAGTTCTCGCCTTGGATGCGGATGTCCGGGTACACCTCACTGATGGCCTGAGAGTAATCCTGGAAGACTTTACTGTAACCTCAGGAGATACTGAAAGAAGCACATCAGTTATGTGATTATAATCTGTCACACTTACACACACACACACACACACACACACTGTCACACACAATAACATTAGCCGATCAATTATCAGGTGTATTTTTTTTATTTTCCCGAAAGACGGACGTTGAAGACAAGAACACCTGCCTTAAGGTGTCCAATTAGATGGTCAGAAGCGAAGCAACTCGAACTTGATCAGCCAACAAAATCCGGGTAGTCTCCAAATTCCAACCGACCAAATGAGCAAAGTTGGGTTACCCGAAGGTCGTTAACGACAAGTATTCACCGCTAGTTAGCGCTGGCGCCGTAGATCACGCTAACTTAACTCGTATTGTCGATGGTTTGTGTTTAGATTTTCACCCACCCTGTCTTTAGTTTCTCTTCACCTCGGTCATTCTCACGGATGCTCACCGCTAGCCTCCGTTAGCTTCTGCGTTAACTCACCAGTACTGGAACCGCAGTACGGGGCCGCTGTAGATCGCCGCCTTAGCGGGCTTTCCCGGTTCCGTGTCCGGGAAGACGGCCGGGTTGTCGGGTGGTTGGTGCCAACTCTGCGAGCTCGACCTTCCGACATAAATGTCCCGGAGGGTGAGCGCCGTGAAGAGGAACAGGGCCACCAGAAGGCCAGTCTGGCTGTACTCCGCCATGACTGCAGTAGTCAAACACAGGAATCGGAAGCAGAACTACATTCGCTGATGCCACGCTTCCGCTCTGCTCTTTCACATTAAAAGAAACGTCCGGCGGGAAAAATGACGGTTTTTGATACATATTCAGCGGGCTTTAAATATTTTGATTGGAGCGATAAAGCTGGTTCGTGTTTAGATAATCTGAAATTTTTTTATCTGAAACATCAGCGGTGCGGTGAAGGGGGGGGGGTTGTTTTTTTTTTACTCATCTATAATCACATAGTGACGTCACATTCACCCGACACAAAGTGGTAAACAGTGTAACGTCATAAACGTGGGACACAGCGTAGCGTGTGGTTGGAGGCGCCAAGGTGATAGAACAGATACAAGCAAATAAAATCGGGGATTTAATGATTTATTCAGCCTCTGACCCCGAGCACAGAGCACCTAACGGCTGACGTCACACAGGTACGTTTCCGCTGTACGGTCATGTTAAAGATTGCAATATCGAAGAAAAGAAAATGGAGGTGTGATTCTGTTCTGAATGATTCAATATGTCGCTTGTCTCTGAGATTGTCATTGTTATTGTTCTAAATAAAGTTCATTAAAAAAAATGCAATATCGAGCTGTTAACAGGAGAACGCATGAGATGTCTTTAATTAATGTAGGGGAGAGTGGGGTGAGTTGTGCCAGTTTTTACTTAAAGTGATTTTAAAGCGACCGTAATGTCCAACTAAAACATGTACACATATTTCAGGATGTTGAGCAGTAAAAATGTTCTGACATGTTCAGAACAAAATGACATTCAAATGAAGACGAAATTAACTGCAGTTGTCTTCACAAATCTGGCCTACTCCATAACATCCCAGCTGTTGATGCTACTCACTGCTCCCTTCTGGCTCTACCACCAAGTTTTTGTGATGCGGTTAATGGTTTTATGCACATTTTCTCTATGGGAAATAATTATGAATATTCTCTATTACTTTTTCTTAATAAATGCACACTTAGCCAAACCTGCTTTTGCATGTGATATCCCTGCCAGCTGGATCAAAATCTAATTTCTTTGTGCATGAACTGGCTTTTGAGTATTCACAAAGAAACGAACATATAAAGGCTGCTAGTGCCTTTTAGATGTTGTGTCAAAGACTTGATGGCATTTCCATCTGTAGCATCCAGCCGAACTGAGAAGGCCAGAACTGATGGTTGTTGAATGACTTTTATTATTCCTTGCCGTGTATCAGACAACGAACCAACGTAAGAGCTTATTCCCCTGTCGACTAAAGCTAGAGCCATTCATTTTTCTACTATTGTTTTTCTCTCCCTTTTCTCCATTATCAGTAGTTTGCAGTTTTCTTGCGTCTTTTGTTACATCAAGCTAGTTTCCGTTTGCAACATTCACGTCTGGTCACACAGTAAGTTACTAAAACAAAAGCACAAACATTATATTACGTTATATTATATATTAGCTAGCTTTACATATTCACTTTTACACCATCCATCTTCTTCTTTTCCATGTATCATTTTAATGTCATCCTGGATGTTGATCTTCCTCGCCACCTGACGAATGGACTTCCCTTCTCCACCTCGTTCACTCAGTAAACTCTCTCTATTATAACTCTGTGGCATGAGGGTCTGTTTCTGTTTTTGGTCTGAAATTAAGAATGTCACAGTGGAAAACTATAAAAATACAATCTACAGTTACAATAAAATAATATGTTTAAAATATTCATAAGTGTGGCCCCTTGGCACAAATTACCCCAACAACACCATTTTGAAAAAAGGCATCATCCAACAGTTTTGAGTATCGACTCACAGTCTAGCTTACCAAATCTCTAACACATCTGTGAAATGTTTTCAGACTTTTCTATAACTGTTCATACGCAACAATCAAAAACCAAATCACCCCACTTTCCCCTGTGCCAAATAATAGCAGCTGATCTTCACAGCTACCTGAGGAACAGCTGAGCTGAACTTCCTCCTGACATGAAGCTTAATAAACAGAAACAGGCAGTTTTCTCTTCTTCTCCACACAGACTGTGACAGTAAAACACAAGTTTTTGTTTAACTGGTGTGATCCGTTTACATATTCCACTCTCCGTGATCAGCAGGTGTTAAACAGCTGACAGGTGAACAGGATGTTTGCAGGTAAACTTGAGGCTTTGTCTGTAGCGTCATGAGGAAAATGTTGGCTTGTTATTTAAGTTACAGAAGGACAGAGGTGTGAGACTAGGTGGAAGACTTTTTGATTAAAAAAAAAAAAAAATTTCAAATAATTGAATTGTGGTCTGATGAGAATATTGTAGAGCTGGGCGATAGAACGATAACGATATGTATCGCGATATAACTTTTTCTTGATAGAAAAATTAAACTATTGCGATAGACCTTGCTGCTCTT